TGATCCAAATGATTCTAATAAAGGTTTATAGTTTGAATACACAGTGGAACACTTCCTGTATCACTAGGGGTGTAGCGATGTCCAAGTCTTACGATACGATACGTCACGGTATGAACTTCACGGGACGATATTTATTGAAATATCATGGGAAAGCTCACGATACGGTGGAGAGACTCAAGATGAAACAATATCCAAATCTCTCAGAACGATATTTTTTTACATCTCACGGTACAATATTTATTGTGATATTTTGTAGAGGCTAACAAAAGTGTTAATATGCTACTTTTTCCTCTTAAAATGCCTTGACAAGACTTAATTCAAAGAACTAAGATTTAAAAGTGCTTAGGACTGTTATTTCTTCATGTAGTCTACACTGAAATGGAGCAAAGGGTCATGGTCTATGTAGTTCTGTCTGTCTGTTTTTAGCTATTGCTGCATCATAACTCTTAATTTAAGCAAAGAAACTTGTAATTCAATATATTGTGATGGTCCACGATATTATTGTGAGAACTTTGACGATACGATATCACAATATTTTGGTTATTGTTACATCCTTATGTATCGCCACATGACATCACGAGGTGGAACAGAGTGTTTTCAGTTTGAGAGAAGAACTCAGCTTAAATATGTAGGGTTTGTGTGTTAAACATGTGAATGAAACAAAATACAAATCTCGGTTATGTTTGTGATGAGAAAACAACATTATAACACATTATAACTCAGAAAATAGCTTAAAATGGGCACTTTAATTCTAAATATTGGGGGGCCGAAGCACATTATGTCTTATTTAATGCTCCTGAATGTGTTGAAAATGTGTATTGTGAAGTTAATGTTGCAAAAAAGATAATTTGGAAGAGTTGAGAGATCATTTGTAGTGTGCTGCTGCCCTCTGGTGGACACAGTGAAACAAAGCACACATGGAGTTACTATGGAAACAAATGACAAAAGGGATAACATTTTTTCAAATAGTACATTTAAAGTTCGTCTGAATATTGATCATTTGCATTGTGTTGATAAATGGTACCACACAAACCCTGCATATTTAGGCTGAGTTCTTCTCTCAAACAGAAAACACTCTGTTCCACCTTGTGATGTCATGTGGTAATACAGAAGTGTTCCAGTGTTTGTTTGTTTTTTAACTCTGTACACCTTCACTAGAATGATTTGGATCATTTCAGTCCTGGAATTGCCAATATCTGCTGAACTAAAAGTAAAAAGGAGCTGCTAATTTGAAAACTACCGCTTCGTGACATCACAAGGTGGAACGGAGCATTTTGAGGTTTGTTTTTGAGGAGAAAACTGTATTATAACATGGCTTAAAGGTAATATTTGCGTAATATGGGACTTTTAAGGCGAGAAACTTACACAGTTGTTTGTTTTTCTAATTCCTGACCTGATTTATTGAGGTGTCAGCTCATAGAAAATCATAATTATTTTCTTGTGTGCTTATAAATTATAGTGAAGTTCTGTTTTATTTTGTAATCAAACACACGGTTTTTGAGAAAGTGTAAAAAAAAGGGGGGAAAAATAAGAGAAATTTACTCCTAGAAATAACAGAAGTTTTGCCGCTGATGGTTCAGGTGTTGTTATCATGTTCCGTGGAAAATAACGACTGGACTCGATCGGTTAAAAGCACAAAAGTTTATTCCCTATTCAATACAATTCTAATACAGAGCTCTGGGTCAAACCACTGTCCCTGATGGCCTACAGCTACACAGGTCTTACGTCAGGCGGTCTGAACGCCTGTGGCTTTTCCCTCCACCCAGAAATATACAACCACATGAATATGCAAATGACACGTTGACCAGGTTCACGCCTTGGATCCTCCCTGAAGCCTCTCCGTTTATGGGAATGATCAGATCTATTTAGGTTTGGTGCCAGCCAGGATGACCCCTCGTCAGCTGCTCTGCACAGAATTTCCATAAAAAGACACAACTTTCACAGCAGTATCTTTAAACACATATATCAGATTTCAGTGGTTAAGCATTAGCTATTCAAACAACTATATAATTGTAGTATTTAATATACGCATGCAGTACACTCACGATACTTTATTTCTCGATATAATCTTCAGTGTCAAGACAATTCTGTTTTTCCATCATCTATATGAAACACCTCACCTCACCTGTAGTGCGTTTTGTGTTTCTCATGACTCTGCATTGTCATTCCCTGCCTCTCTCATGCGTTTGTGTCCTCATGTGCAGTTTATGGAAATACCTTTACCGTAAGTATGGTAGAACTGGACCTGAAGACTGTGGTGCTCTTTAAAACTGATAAAAAATAATAATAATACTAACAAAAAAGGCCCAATTTTTTTTTTTTTTTAATGCATGAATGTCAAATATGTAGGGAGCAAAGTTGTTATAATGCATTCAAAAACTTTCAGTGAGTTTGACCCAGATGTTGATGGTGAATGGAAGATCATTTGTTTCATTAGAGTTTGAATTTTTAAATTTCTCTGAATTTCTCACTTTGAATTTTTTAACTCTTCAAGATGTTTGAATTCTGTTTATTCTAAATTTTAGTTGCTGAAATTAGTATTAAATATACTTTTTCAGTATGTTTCAAACTCAATAAAAATGTTACCTTTTTCAATGGCATGAACAGGGGTGGGTTAATATAAGTTTTCGAGAAATGTGCTTTTCTGTTGTTTACAATTTATATGTAGTATACTTGATTAATGTTTCTCTCTTGGAACAAACTCGAAATAAAAACCAATCAATCAATCAATCAAGTATTCGGCACATGTATTTTCAAGCCCTGAGATTCAACAGTCAAATTTCAGAGTGTAAAATTCACAGGGAAAAAGATCGAAGACGTCAAGGCAGAAGCGTCGATCTTGTGTGAGTGAAGAGGACAGAGGCTGTTTCCTATTGGCCGATCTCAACTGTGGGCGGGGTTTACACTTAAGAAATGAAAGAGATGAGTTTGTGATGAAGCGAATTCTGACCAATCAGATCGCTTCACTGCACCATTTCCTGCTCGTTACTAAATTACTAACTTTGGATCGATTCCTTAGGCTTTGGCATCTTCGATCATTTTTCACGGTCAATTTTACACTGAATTTTGACTGTTGAATTTAAGGGCTTGAAAATATTTGTGCTGAATATTTAAAAGGTGAAATCTTGAGTTTGGTTTTGAAACATATTGAAAAAGTATTCTTCATACTGATTTCAGCAACTAAAATTTTGGCTGTTGAATTTGAGGCTTGAAAATATTTGTGCTGAATGTTTAAAAGGTGATTTTTTTTTTTTATATCAAATTTTATAAACTGAAAATGTGCACATATAATTTCAGCAAGTAAAATTCATAATAAAAATAATGTTTCTTTCAGAGTTAAAAGACTTAAAAATGAGAAATTCAATTGGATTTAAAATTCTAAATCTGATGAAACAAATTATCTTCCATAGCGGTGTCTGTTGCAAAAATGTTTATCAAAATATTTCAAATTTAAAGTTACGATTTCTTACCTCAGTGGTAGAAAAATATTGGCAAATCCAGACTGACACCTTTATTCTTATGCAGATGATGTCAGTCTGGTCCCCACTTTCTCCGCTGTGTTTCAACCCCAGTCAAACGTGATCGTCCAATCAGATTCATTTTTTTCAGTGACACATGTTTAACGAAGGAGCTCATTGGTCAGCCTTCATTTATAAAGAAAATCAAACTACTCTCACCTCAGATTAGCAGAGTTTAGTGCTTTGCTCATTGATTCTGCAAAAATCTGAAATTGTGATGTAGAGACTTTGCAGCGTCACGTGACCCTACAGCAACGGTACCTACGCCGCCATGACACCAGGCACACTATGTCACTGACTTCAGGAGCATCGGAGAAACATGGGCAAGGTTTTGTTGTGTATTTGGTTGTTCGAGACGCTCTGAAAGGGATAAAACGAATCGTTTCTTCACTGTTCCTCTGGAAATGACTCATCAGGAGCTCAAACAAGGGAATTATCGAAAAAAGACGCGGATTATGGTTAGAGAACATAAACCGCGAAGAGATTTCCTATGGTACCATCAAGACACACTCACGTCACTTTCATCAAGGTATTTGCTATTTAAATGGTTTCATACCTTATTTAATGAAAGAAGCACATTTACTGAACTAAAATATCATTCATTTATCCAGGAAAACCTGCACGAGTTTACGATTCAATGAACCCACACTGGGCTCCTGTGATCAACATGACGCACGAGTCGAAGAGTCTGTGAGCCGAACTTCGAAAGAGTCGCCATGAAAAGATCCTCGCGAACGTTTGAAAGATCCACTCACAAAAAGCGATTCATTCTAGAAGACAGTTGTGGTTAAGCAAGACAATAAAGAAAACATGGGTCCTACGACGAGTGACATGTTTATATGTGCGATGGAAGATACAGTTTCTACTGCCACTCACACTGCAAATGTTTTCTTTTTACATTTTAGTTCAGTAAATGTGCTTCTCTCATTAAATAAGCTATGAAACTATTTAAATAGCAAATACCTTGATGGTACCATTGGAAATCTCTTCGCGGTTTATGTTCTCTAGCCATAGTTCTCGTCTTTTTTTCGATAATTCCCTTGTTTGAGCTCTCTGATGAGTCATTTCCAGAGGAACAGTGAAGAAATGAATCGTTTTATCCTGTTCAGAGCATCTAGAACAACCAAATACACAACAAAACCTGCCCATGTTTCTTCGATGCTGCTGAAGTCAATGACATAGCGTGCGTAGGTACCGTTGCCATGGGGGACACGTGACGGTGCAAAGCCTCTATACAGACAGACTCTGCATGTCCCTGATTGGCTAATCCACCTGTCAATCACGCCCATTCACCACTGACCAGGCTCACATAGTTACATATTCCACCTTTAGCTGTTCCTATGGTGTTTTATATGTTTCCCATTCACGTAAATTAATCTTATTTAAAACAAAATGCATATCAGAGCACCTCAGTCTTCAGGTCCATCACTTGAGAAGAAGCTGAACGTCTAACTGTGTCTCTGTGTCTCCCTCTGTCCTCAGCAAAAAGCCAAAGAGACCTCCGAGACAGAGGCAACAGAACAACAACCGCCTAAAACCTCTGACGCTGGCCTACGACGGAGACACGGACATGTAGGACCGAGGGACTTTTGGATTACCTGGAGACGGGCGGACAGCGATGAGACGAGAGGACACCTGGAAACGAACGGACGCCATGAGAGAGGAGATGAGAAGACGCGATGAGACAGAAGGGTGTCCTCGTCACCGTGGGACCGAGCCCTGGAGAGGATCAGCCATTTTAAACCGAGCGAACCTGGCCGCCCTCCTTCTACCCTCTCGCTCCTGTCCAACTTGTGTCGCAGGATCTGACATGGTCGCCTTTCTTCTACCCTCTCGCTCCTACAGAACTAATGTCACTGGGATCCTTTCCTCTCGTTTCCTGATTAGGGTGACCAGACGTCCCTATTTACCCGGGACAGTCCCAGTTTTGAACCCCTTGTCCCTTGTCCCAGTGGATTTCTCTAAAACCAGTGATTTGTCTCAGTTTTATACAAGAAATGCTCCAGGTGTCCCTATTTTGGACCAATTTGATCCCTGCCAACAGTAAAGACAGGCATACATTGTCGTTTGTTTTGGTAAAATACAAAAAAATCACCTTAAAAACAACCAAAACACAAAGAAAATGTGACTATACTGACTCAAATGTTAGTCATGAATGGTCTCTGCAGAACAATTTTCCTTAATTACGCATTCGTTTCACACCAAAAAACTGGGGATTTTTTTTTTTTAAATTCTGGTCACCCTATTCCTGATGAACTTGCGTCACAGTTTCCAACACGGTCACCCTCCTTCTACCCTGTGTCTCCTGTCAAATCATGGATCTATAATAAGAACTGGAGAAAACACTCCCCAGAGATCAACTAGTGGCCGCTCGAGGTACTGCAGCTCACGGAAGCTTGGGCCCAGAAACAATTCTCTTTCCTTTTCAAAACATGAACATAGAAAAAATAAAAAAATCCTCCAAATGCCTAAAAGTTAGCTTTGTGAAGATTTAGTTCAGCCCTGTTCTGACCTGTGCTTTGATTGTCAGAACAGATCACACTGTACACGTTACTGACATCACACAGAAGGGAGGAGCAAACCCCTATGGAGGAAATAATCCAAAAAAGCTCAATCTTGTCAATGGGTTAAACAAAATCAAACACAATTTTCAACAATTTTCCTCCCCAAATGAGATATTTCATTTTTATCTGACACTAAACCACCATTTTAAAAAAAAATTATAATAATAACAAAAAAAAACTGGGACATTAACACATTAATTACAATTGATTAATGAATTACAAAGAAAATAATGCATTAAAAATATTAACACAGTTTGTCAAACAATGCAGAATGTTTGTCAGTGCACCATGTCGTGGTACGACAATTATACGCACACTGTTCTCACTACAATCATGGATCTATAATAAACAACTGGATAAGACATTCCCCTCTGTCCCAGATTGAGACTGACTAGTGGCCGCTCCAGGTACTGCAGCTCCTGGGAGTTTGAGCTCAGAAAGAATTCTCCCATAGAGCCAAATGCATTTTTTGAGAATTCAAACTGCCTGTGTTCGGCTGACAGGGAATCAACAACCTTCACAAAGGTCAGATTTTGTAGGGATTCTTAAATTTAAATCCTCAAAGCTTCTAAAAGTGAACTTTGTAAGACTTAGCCTAGCCTTGCTCTGAGCCCGCACTCGCTCTGCTCTAGCAGCTCTCGCTCTGAGGCGTCGACCCAAACTCCAACAAATGACCTGCTTCAGGAAGAAAATGAGTAAATGAATATGACAAATATTGTTGAGTGATTCATTGATTCATTTTTTTAATCATCAAATCCCACCACTAAAAAAAAAAGGAAAAAAACTGTAAAATCTAGATTAAAATTCAGATTTCACTTCCTGTTCAGATGTCTTCTTGTATTGAGGAGGTAATCCAGAAGACAGAATTATCTCTGGGCCCACACGCAGGTGAACACAGGCCACTGAAAACAATACGACGTTATCTTGGGTTCACCTTCCAGATTTGATTATACGTCCGTGTGTCGAACATGTGCTGCCCGGATCCAACACATCCGCCCCCCTCCTCCCCTCCTCCCTTCTTCCCCTCCTTCCCTTCTTCCCTCTCATCTCGAACTTTTCCGGGGCTTTGAAGATTCTTCGCTTCAGACGGTGCCAAAACAGAAAACAGAGAGAAGAGCTCGTAAAGGGTTTGGAGCGCTCCACGTCGATCCTCTTCACGACTAAAGAGCCAGGCCCCTCTCTCTCTCTCTCTTTCTTTTTTTCTCTTTCTCTCTTTCTCTCTCTCATGTGGACTTGGGTGAGGAGAAACTGGAGGACAAGGAAGCGTGGCGGTCCAGGCTCTACATTGCACTATATTAGTGCAGCATGATATGCACAGTGACTTCTACCTTTGCCATAGACACTGCACTGCAACAAATAAGAATCTACACGAGCTCAAATCAGATGAATTCAGAATGTTATGTCCATTTGGATTTTACTTTTTTTTTTGTTACTTACAAAAAGTGTTTTATCTAACTAGAAAAAAGTACCAGCAAATTACATTTCAAGTGGAATTTTGTTGCAATTACACACCCACACCCACACAAAAAGGAAAAAAGATAATAAGTTTTACCCTGAAAAGAAAAAAAAATATTTAAAAAAATTTCAATAAATCAGAATTAAAGATTTGGCGATATTAAGTAAAGGTTTTTGAGTTTTATACCATGTTCTAACGTTGTTCCCTCATCAAAAACATATCCGAAGTGGTTTTAGATGTCATCCATGCATGTTTGAGGAATTTAGGGATCTCTCCCGTGCCCTAGCCAAACCCTTTTTAAGTTTCACTGTGAGATTCTGTCCAAAGCTCCGCCCACAAGCCTACGTCAGCCACGCTCCCGCATGACAATTCTTCATAAATATACAAAAATATGATACAAAACTGTACTACAACTTCACAAACCTGACGTGATGTGCAGTAGTTTCATTGTGTTGCAATGGCGCTCTGAAGGGGGGGTGACTTAGCGTGGCGAGCAGAGGAAGGGGAGAATCCGAGCATTTTAAAATAAATCTGACTTATTCTAAATATTGTAATTCGGTCATTTTGTTTTATTTGAATTCCATTTTTCAAATGAATAATATTATTTTCTATCTGAATCAAACAGGAGCAGCAGCAGATTTTTTTTTTTTTTAAATCTAAATCTTGGCCAAGGGGTTAAACAAAACTGAACTGAATTTTCAACCATTTCCCTGCCCCACTGGGATATTTCATTTCTTATCTGACACTAAACCGCCATTTTAGGGAAAAAACAAAACAAAACAAAAACCAGTGAAATCCAGATTAAAATTCTGATTTCACTCACATTTTAACTCCAAACGTGTGTTATTTGTTGCAGTGCAGTCCCACTCTTTAAATCCCTGTGAATAGATCTGGTTCCTCACGTTGGACTTTTGGTTCTGGTGAAATGCATTCGTGGCTTGTGTGCTGTGTTTATTGAAGATGTTATCTGTGCGGGGTCAGAAATGAGGACATGTCCACAACCAAAACACTCAGTCTCCACTCTCTATGTAAGCAATGACACCAGGAAGTGCTCCTCCATGTTTTTAAAGTCCATACATTTCCTCTGGACTCGTTCTGGTCGCGTTTACTCTTGATTTTCTATTTATCTGTTAGCTTCATGTTGACAGGAACCATGCTGCTAATTTGTATTTTCAAAATGCGTCACTACCCCACTGTTGCCAGCAGAGGGCGGCAGACAAAAAAGCTACTCATGATTTAATTAAGTTATAAATGCCAGTAGATACAGTATGGGCAGGACTCGGTCATATTTACTCAAGTACATTCATATTTGAGGAAAGGTCGCTGCACACTACAGGAGAATTTGTCCGATTTTTGCTGCGATTTGCTTCTCCCCAAGTGCTTGTGATTTCATGTTTGTGGTGTCAGTGTGACTCTGAGCTGCTCTGTCAGATCATGACCACCAAACATCAACAAAGCCACTGTAAACTGATGCATCTCATCCACATTATCTATAGAATTTGTCCTCCACAGATAATGACATTCAGTCCCCAAAAAGGTGCTGTTAATCCAGTTTGAGGAATTCTTTAAAAGTAAAAAGGCCAGAGTAGTTCCTCTCGTGTGTTTGTTTACATCTACACAGCGCACGGATCAAGGTGAAGCTGCAGATTAGCGATAGTGACTCTACTTCAGACATGTCAAACTCAGGCCCGAGGGCTAAATTTGGCCCATGATACAATTATATTTGGGCACTGAGATCATATCAAATATGTATTAGAGCTGACCCCCCAGCTACAGATAGACTATAGAGACATTATTTGTTTAAAATGTTGTTCTGGATTCAGTTCTGGATTCAAAACTATTATTAAACATTTATTTTAAGAAAAGTTTAAACATTACATATCTCAAAAGAAGAGAAAACATGCAGATGTTGTTGAATTTTTTCACTAAATATTTAGTTTGGCCCACAACTTAGTCCCAGTTTTTAATTTTGGCCTCTGTGAATTTGAGTTTGGCACCCCTGGTCTGCTCCCTGTGGACTTTATCTCCAACCCGCAGTGCATTAAAATCATGTATCTGAAGTTTTGCACCACATTTCACAAGTAATGATAACACAGTTTTGACTGTGTAGAAGTAGTCCAAAATAGAAGTGCAGTGATCAAAATTTTTGAACACTTAATTCTCAAAGTGAGTGGTTTTACTGTAGACAGGAAACAGCTGATCTATATCCTGCGGTCTGCAGTCATATCCCGCTGCAGTCATTGTGTTCAGACATTTAAAATCTCATCAGATTCTCCTCGTGTCTGTGGTGTTTGCCTTTTGTCGCACGTTTAAAAATCTTTTAAGGCTGAAAAATCCTGTAGTGTGTGGCGGACTCAAGTTTATATTACAGGTGCAATATTTGACTTTTCAGGTGTGGGGTCCACTACCATCTTGTCTCAATGGAAATGTTATTTTTTGCCCTAAATATTCCACAGTATGTCATTAAATTGATCTATCTTATATGGATTCAATTAAGTTTTTATTGCTTAAAACCTTGAATAAAAGCATTCTTATTGTAAGCGGGGGTCACCTCTC